TTGTAAGAACAATAATCCTGTGCCCTCAAGTCAATTCTGAATTATGGTGACCCTTTTCAGGGTACTCGGAAGTGGTTTCCCATGAACTTCTTCTGGAGATATCCGGGACTGTACAGCTTGCCCAAGGTCACACAGGCTGGCTGTTCCCCTAGGAGGCACAGTGGGGAATTGAACTCCCAGCCTCTGGCTCTGCAGCCAGAAATGTAAACCACTGAACTATTCAGCCATCTTGAAATGTATTCTAATTCTGTTTAAACTATTAAAATCCTTTCTAATTTTGCACGTGTACATATAAATAAGCATTTGTTGTTTTATGTGAATCAATGTCCTCTTTTTTCTACTTTTTTTTACTCTGCATGCCCACCTTTTATTTTCCTTGTAAGTGGTCATCCTAAGTATTGGTTCCCTACCAACCATGGCCATGTACCATCTTTCTCGTAGTACTTAAAAGTTGCTAAGTATCAAAAGCTTCATGAACAGCAGAATGCTCCACAAGATGGTTTGGCAATATTGTCCACCCACTTCCATGTCAAGAATTCTTAGAAGAAGGCATGTGGCCGGTCTTCCCAAACTGTTCAATTTTTAGTCTTCCTCACCGTTGTCAACACTTAAGAATGTAACACAGATACAGAACTGAAGGTGAAACATTTTTTTTCTCTCCTCCCACCTCACTTTTCTGATGAATCTTTTGAATAACACCTCTCAAAAACAACAACAACAACAGAAATCCCAAAACATAAGAATCATTTGCCAAGAATCCTTGCTATGAACTAATAGTTGTATTTTATGTCTGCCATTTACATGGCTCGCTTTTGTTGACTTTTTTCTTTTCCTTTCCTTTTTCTTCTTTCTTTTTTGGTATGAACTGTTTTATTTGCTTTTGGCACTGCCTGCCATCTGGCTGACTTGTGCTGCTCTTTTTTGCTTTTGCCTAAGCATATCTATATTTAAGAAAAGATAGGCTTATATAAATAATGACAGAATAAAAGCTTTTCAAAGGCCTTTCCAAAACAGAAAACATCCTTGCTCAATGCATTTGCAATGAGATTGAATGGTAGGTTCGTTGCTTTAAGCCAATTCACTCTATTGTATACCTGGCAGATGTCTGTCTTATGACTCATCTACCAAATGTTAGATTGTGGTAATCAGCTAGATTGATGCCCTGGTCTCATTCATATCATGCTCAAGGCTGGATTGCTATAAGTAGCTGTCTCTTTAAAAAACACAAAACCCAGAGCTCAAAACTCATTTTGCAAGTGCAAGCCCTGTGTTTATTTATCTGCTTATTTAATGTCATCACCGCAGATGGCACTGATAGATATCTGCTTCACAGTGGGGACAGTGCAAGTCACAACAAGTTGCGGTCTAAAGGAGGGAGAGAAAGAACTGCAGATGGAAGTGGTATAAATGAAGAATAATACAGACATGTACTTAATGTGAAAGTTCAAGTAGGGGGTTTCAGCCAAAGGACCTAAGAAAGAGATAATCTGCAAGAGTGATTTAATAATCACAACAGATATTATCTAATCTTTGTAATAAACCTGTAAGTCATACAAGGGATGTGGTGTGATGCTCAGGGCTAAACCGCGGAAGCCTCTGTGTTGCAAGGTCAGAAGATCAGCAGTCATAAGGTCGAATCCACATGATGGAGTGAGCTCCCATCACTTTGTCCCAGCTCCTCGCCAACCTGGCATTTCGGAAGCATGCAAATGCGAGTAGATCAATAGATACCACCTCGGTGGGAAGGTAAAACAGTGTTCCCTATTCACGCTGGCTACGTGACAATGGAAACTGTCTTCGGACAAGCGCTGGCTCTACGGCTTGAAAAATGGGATGAGCGCCGCCCCCTAGAGTCGGACACGACTGGACTAAAAATGTCAAGGGGAACCTTTACCTTTACCATACAAATTATTATATCCTGTATTTCAAATGAGAAACTGAGTCTCAGGGAGAGTGGCTTACCTAAAGCAATTTATTGGGTTCACAGCACAAGAGATTCAGTCTGGAGACCTCCTGATATGCATCTTTCAGTGTTAGCCCAAAGGTGTCCGGTGGTGGACTCCCATCTTCCCTTGTTGTGCCAACGTCTATGGCCAGTATACTCCTGAGCTACTGCTGAGTGGAAAGCCTCACTAGGTTACTAGTGTGAGATTGTGGTTCATGTACAAGCATTGCCACTGCCCAGTTTTCTGGGTTATGTCAAATTCTAGACAGAATACCTGGAGCCCATTTGGACTACCCTCAAGCCAGGACTCCTAGCTTTCATTCCTTATTTAAGTTACATCACTAGCCCTTGTAAAATGAGTGATAGAAAGCAAAATATTTTGTGACTGTTTTGCCTGGTTGTTCTCTCCAAGAGAAGAATTCTGTCATCCTCTCCCAGTTCCATGGCAATTCTTGCAGTTTGGAAAAAACCTAATTCTAGCTTGTTGCAGACAAATTAAATTCCTTGTATAAGTGCCTGCAAACCTAGGAAGCAATGAACTTCTAGGACCATAGGTATAGTGAGAGACATGCAACTAAATAATACCTGTGCAAAGAGGGATCAAAACTTGCAGAATTGGAGTTCATTTGGAATTTGCAGTATTGGCAGGAGAGAAGAGGAGAAGATAGAAACATAATAATCCGATTCTTCCTGTGAATCAGATTTCTGGAAAGAGGATTCAAACAATGAGAAGAAAACATTCCTTTGAGAGAACTCATTCTGCTTTTACATGTCATGGAATATGATCTGGCCCTTTGAACAACTCATCCAGATATATATCTTATATAAGGAAATGTGAACAGGTGATTGACATGCTTGTATCTATTAGGAATCAAACATTGGAAAAGTTTCCTTCTTGGACTACAGATCTTGGAATCCCCCATGACCACACTGCCTAAAATATTCTGGATGATGTAGTCCTCCCAAAAGTAATGTTTCCAAGCACCTTTGGAGATCTTATTCTGTACTGCAGTGTAGCCCACATCAGCAAAACAGTACAGTGGTTGTTGGAATAGGCAGGTAGACAGGATTTATGCTGAAGAAAAACGGAAGCAAAATATGGATGAGTATTTCTAAGGCAGGAGGACATTTCTGCATCTTGATATTGACAACGATTTTGAAATAGATATGTTCCTTATACAAAGTTTTTAGAAGAATAATTAGTCTGTTGCAGCAAAAGCAACAAGGAATCTTGCAGGACCTTAAAGACTGCTGTTTTATTTGTCATAAAGTGTGCTGGACCGGGAGGGTGGACCCAGTGGGATGGCTGGGCATGGAAATCCTAAAAATGCAAACGTTGATCATTATCTTAATTGTGGAATAGTTAGTAGTTGCACTGTAGCGCAGACATACATGAACTTTTACAAATATAGTGTAATGAAAAATCAAATCAGTCCAAAAGAAGAGGAAAACAATAGAACATCTTATAATAATAGTAAAATATTTAATTGGTATATCACATCTTATATTCTTGCTTTTGATTCCTGCACTTTGACCTCATTTCCCCCCCCCTTTTTTTTTTGCTACAAATCATGTGGCTGTGTATTGTTTGGGTTTGATTTGTGGGGTATTCGCATGGATCTCTAGGGCTTGTTTTTGCCATCAGTAGAACATAGTGACAGTGAATGGTGGTGATCTGAAGATATTCTCTTGTATATTCTTGTAGCCTCTACAGGTTACAAAACACCATTATTTATTTACATATATGCACCAGCAATATATATGGTAATTTTACATGGCTTACCTGTCCTTATTTATCCCCATGGCAACCATGTGAGATAGGCTTAGCTAAAAAGTCTGGACTGGCCTAAGGAAACCAAGTAAGCTTGGTGACTGAGCAGAGATTTCAGACTGGCTTTTTCTCTTCCAAACCAAGCCCTCTAAGGTGGGCACTGCACTGGCTCTCTGAGTTCAGGGATAACAACAAGGCCAAAAATGAAACAAACTAATAGAAAAAAATTAACTACTAAAAACATACTGGTAATTTTTTTAAAAAAACTACTAATATACCTAAATAGCATAATATGCAAGTTTGCAAAATTCCTGAATGCTATTTTGTATGCTGTGACTTCCATGGAGAAGACCTACCCTCGGCTTGCACAACGACTGTGCTTGCAGAAATGGCATGGGCGCATGTGACCACGCTAGAGGAATTCTCTATTCAGTGGAAGATCAGTGTGATGTACCTTCTTTGTTGTCTCATCCTCTGGTTTATGTTCTAGTGATTATTTCATGTAACAGCTGACAAAGAGCACTGAGGATTCTTTTCACTTTCTTTTCCACCTTGTGTCTGATGGTAGGGGCTGGGATTCTGTGAAAGGTTGATATGTTAGCCTTTAGAGCACTTCCAAATTGTTTTGCTTTGCCATGTTTTCTGTTACTGTAAATTATGCTATGGCTTATACATCTTTATCTGTGCATAACCACACTAGTGTTGTCAGTGTTGGTGTGGCAGCGCATATTTTTGGTTTCTGCAAATTGTAGGCCAAACCTAGTTCCTCCCAGGCTGTGGGACTCCTCGCCAAGGGAGACTAGGCTGGCTTCCACCCTTTTGTTTTTCCGCTGGCATTCAAAGCCTGTTTTACTTAAGTAGGCTTTTGGCAGACAAGAAATAGAGACTTTAGCAGGTTGATGTGTATGTCTTTGCGTCCTTCTTTGGTTGGATGTGTTCTTCAAATGCTTTTTAACTTGATACGGTTTTAATACTACAGTTCGTTCAGTTGTGTTTTAGCATCATGACTATTTGTCTCTCTCTGTACCTGTTTTGACCCTTTCATTCATATTTGGTTTTAATCTACTGGTAAGCCATCTCGACTTCCATCTTGACTGGAAGTAATGAAAGAAGTAAAAACAAACACCAGCAAGCAAGCAAGCAAGCAAACAATCTGAAATTCCAGCCTGAACTTTTTTTGTCTAAAGACTCAAAATATATTGCTTAACAAATCATGCTTTTTTTCTGTCCTCTCTGCAGATGGATCGTATCATTTTCTGTGTATTTTTGGAGGTTGACTACAAAATTTACAAAAAGAAAATGAACGAATTCTTCCCCACAGGTTAGTTCTTTTATGTTTTTCTTTCAAGAAGTAGTTTTCTTCAAATATGGTCCCTAAATTGGCAGTTACACACTGTGGCATATTTATATGTTATCTATAATACTATAAACATTTTCTGTTAAGATTTTTGATGTATAAAACTAGGGATTTGCACCAGTACTGAAATTTAGATTCAGAATTTGAATTACAGCCCTTCATATGGAACATGAAATTAAAAAAATTCAGAATTTCTGGATATACAGAACTCTGTTATAGTCAATATGAATACTATGTTGTCATTATTTTCCCCTTTAAAAACACACAAAAGGGCAAAATATTTTTCAAGGATTCCCCTGTGTCCTCAGACACCTTTCCAGTGATTGTGCCACATAAAAAGAGTGCACACAATGGCTAGCAGTGCCTAGAAAAATGACAGAATTTAAAGATTTTGCTCTCACTCCAGCCTTGCTCCCTTGGGAAACCCATAGAAACCCCAATCAGGAGGCACTGAATTCTCTGCTCCCACCACCCTCTTCGAGTTTCATTTCTCTAGAAATCATTCCAGGATGCCTGAGAAATCGGTTTGACGTTCACCTCTTCCTCTAGCAAGCAGAAAACTATCCTTTTGCTTTCTAATCTATTGGAGTAAATGGGACTCCAAATATTAGAAATTATTATTACAAATACCTGGAACTATCAAACTCTGATTCAGATATACTCAGAACTATTCAAATATGTCCTTTTTTAATGTGCGAGTTCTGAATATTTCCCAAAGCCAAGTACACATTCCTAAAAACGTGTAAATATAATGTAAATAAAGGTATCAACATTATTTCTATGTTTAGAAGAAAAAAGCTAACTTTATAAGGAAGTCTATATTTTCCCCTCTGGTACTTTGTTACATGAAATCACAAATATTAGACTAGCTATTTCTATTACTGCATATAGGAAATTGCATCCAAGAACTGCAAGAAGAATAAATAATCCTTTTTATTAAGCCCCCAAAAGGCAATACTATATTTCTTCTTTCCTTGAGTTGTCAGCAAGTGCAAATGTAACTCTCTCTCTCTCTCTTTTTTAACCATTTCCTGTTGATCAGGGGGTGGGAGAGAACTGAGATAGTTACAGAAGGCAGCATACAGTAGTTGTTCCTGTGTGGGTTCGGAAAATGGAACTTCTGGTCTGCTACACTTCCTAATTTTCAGTAATGACTGACATGAACATTTCTTACATCAGTAATGGTCAGATACTGTTTGCATATTAATTTCAAAGTATTAAGAGCCACCACAGTAGTTTCTGCCTTCTTCTCAGAATCCCTCCGACATTTTTTTCTGTCCCTCTATGACACCATGGGAAGACCCTGGATTCCAGAGAGATTTCATATTTCACCCTTGGGCTGAGATCCAAGTAATGATCTCGAGCAGCCCTCCTTCCCCCATACACTTCTCCTAATTTCTTTCACCTCATATAGAAAATTACCTCACATAAGTTTGAAGCTGTGCTGTATGCTGCATGAAAATGTAAGGCTAAAATTGGCCCAGCAAAGAAATGAGTCACCACAAGGCAGCTCTCTTTAAACTGTACTGGAAGAGATGTCATATTGCATTATTCACAGGAATCTCTCTTTTTCTTCCTTGCATGCAATTAAATTTGTGGGGCTGTTTCTCTTTGTCACCATGTCTCCACTGAAAAGTCCTCCAGTAGCCAAACTGAACTGAGCACATTCTTTTCCACCATGTTCAGTGTTCAAGGGGAGGAAATGAAACAGCCACGTAGCCTAGGCCACTCACCACAGTGCTAGGAAAAAGAGTGTATATCTATGGAGACACAAAATAGTTTAATATTCATGCCACATCCCCTTACCTTAAATCTAATGTGGAAGAGAGGATGGAAAGAAAATGCTTGGCCCATTCTTCTTTGGTCTGAAGGTCTGCAGAGACCTGGAACTGCTTTGGGTATGACGGAGTTGTACAAGGTGGTGGCTACTCCTTTGGGCAACACCACTCCCAAAGAGGAAGTCCACCCTTGCAGACTCCAGAGCTGAAACGTGAACATATGTGGAGGGATGGAGGACTTATGTATGCTGCAGATATAACATGCAGATTTGTCTAAAGCAGTACAGTAGATTCCTTGAAAAGTAGCCAAGTGGCTTCACCTGTACAGAGAGATTAAGACTTGCTTTGCTTCCAGAGTGTGAGAGTGCCAGAGTAAACAATAAATGAAAATCAAATGTTTAATTCCCCATATGAACTCTCAAATGTTTTCCTCTGTCTGGCCACTTATTGTGGACAAAAAGGTTCTTTGGTTGCATCTGCTTCTAGTCCTTTAGACATTTTTCACAATTCCATACTGAGATATTGTTGTCATCACTAAAGACATATCTTACGATTACAGAATTCAGATTTGTCATCCTGAAGGTGGCCTAGTCCCTTCCTACACACAGATGAGCTAGTTCTGGCACAATGAAAGCATGTGGTTTTTCCATCGTTTTGATCCACTTTGTATATTACATGGTGATTTTCATCTATTTCAAAGACCATGAGGTCAGAATTTAACTGTGTGATTGTCTGTGTGTTGAGAACTAATTAATTTGTAATAAAAAGAATGGTCTTGTGCATATATGACAATTGCCAAATGTTGCTAACACTTCAATTAGGACAGAATTCTTCTGATGCTTAATTTAGGGCATGCTTTTATTCCCAGGTAATTAACTTTGGGAAGTAATTCTGTGTCTTCATGTGCTTACGAGTGTTATACTTCACAGTCACTATTGGCAAGCACAGTAGTTGTCAAAGAGGTGAGATAAAGGAGCAGTTAGCACAGATTGGTGGATGGCTGTGCTCACAAAAGTCCAGAGAGGAAAGGACAGTGTGATTAATGTCAGCAAAAATAGTGGACCTATACGTGCAAATCACAACTAGAAGCAACGTCTCAGATCTGTCCAAAAGAAGGTCATAGAATGTTTGAGTGGAGTGAAACAGAAAGGACAAAAGTCTGATTGGGGGAGGTCAAGAAGAGGGTTGGAAGGCAAGAAGCAGATGCAGCTGGTAGGAGCCACATCCTTAAGCAATTTTAAGAGGTACATCAGAACATGAAAAGAGTCCCAAGGGATTGGAATAGAAGGGGCAGGCAGTAATGCTACCCTTCCAAATAAGGCGCATGCACCTGGTATACATTGCTTCTGATGGAAATAGCACTTCTGGGAATATTGTTGTTGTCAGAAGCATGGCATAGAGGCATGATTTGTTTACAAGGCTAATAGTGGTTGTGGGAGGATTCCTGCAGCCTGCCTGAGAAACAAGCAATGGTTACTATGCAGACTACATCTTGAAAGTTATAATATAGTGAGTAAGAGGCAGAACTATACAGATTGCCCCACCAATCTCCTTGTTGTTCAAATGGAGGGCATAGAGATCAATCTGGCCTGTACAGAATTCTATTAGTTATCCTGGCCAGTAACATTTAGGAAATGTTGTGATCTTGTCCATACCTAGATTTGACAGTAGCTGTTTGGTTCCATATTCTTTGTTTTTTTAAAAAAAAAGATAGGTGTGATGTGGGGGTTTTATAGTACCTTAATTTTGTTTCCTTTTTGCTCTGCGCTAGTATAGTGATCATTCTTGCACAATCACAAATAAACTCAATCCTATGAGTGGAATGATATTTCTGTAAAGTTTAGTAAACTAAGCCGAGGGAGAGAACAAACAAAAATTCAGAACACAAAAGGCTATCTAAACAGCCAAATACTGCTATACATACTGCCTAGTGACCTCCTCACCTTCTCAAAGGTTGGAGTGTCAAGGAGAGAGCATGGGATTTATGGGACATCTGTCACTCCCCTGCTCCTTTGCAGCTAGCAGGTCAGTTTGGTGTATTAACTTAGATTTCCTCTTCAGTTTACAATATTGACTATCTTGTTAACCCTACAATTGCCAAGTGGGATATGAAAGCTCTGTTGTGATGTTGCTGTGCCTCGGGAACATATTACTCGATCCTCTAGCCACCTCAAAATCACACAGATACCCCAGATTTAGTCTGGTTCTCAGCAATATCCTCTTTGAGATCAGTGACAGAATGTCCTGGAAAGTTGAAATGTTGTGGCATTGACTTTTGTGTCTTGTGCCACTTCAATGACGCTTTTTCATAACCATTTATTCTTTTGAGTACAGATTTCCTAGTTTGCCATATCTGGGCACTACTGGCAGAAGATGGCACATATCACTTTGAAAAGTAAACGAGTCCCTGATGGATGAAATTAGTGAGAGCTGGAATGGTTCTGCCAGCGTAGATGTTGGAGCATAGCTGGCATCTTGACTTGTCTCAAAGACTTCTTCTTCTTCTTCTTCTTCTTCTTCTTCTTCTTCTTCTTCTTCTTCTTCTTCTTCTTCTTCTTCTTCTTCTTCTTCTTCTTCTTCTTCTTCCCTAGATACTATACAAGTACTGTAATGTGGTTTACACATAACTGACAGAAGTTGTTTAAGGTTGCATGGCAGCCTGCAAGCAAGCATATCCAGTGTGTAAGAGAGAAGGATCATTGGGCAGGATGGTCTATAGCTCCTTGTTTTGACTCGTGTGAGTGGTCTCAACTGAGAGTTGTACATGACAGTAAATGACATGGGTCTGACTTGCAGTAGTCCTTGACTTTTCCTGTCATTCCCACCACCCCCACCTCCATCTCACAGAGTGGACATTGTAGTTTAAGAAATGCCTGCTACAAATCCTTATGTCTTGTGTCTCTGACCCATGGATCTGGGAAGATACAGTTGAACATTAGAGTTTTGGGTGGAAGCTGGAAGCATATAAGACCTTGTAATTATTAGTGCATTTTTGATATAATGTACTGCTTACATGTCCATGATATAGCTGAACAGTGGTGTCAAGGATGTGTCCCTGTTTTGTAAACTGGTCTAGGATCAGGATGATAGTTGAGTAAAAATAGTTAAGATTTTGGTGGAACTCCTCAAGTGATTCTTTTCCGTGAATCCAGATGATAAAGATGCCATCAAATTGTCTCAAATAAA